CCCTGCTGCCGTTGCTGCCGAGTCTGTGTCAGAACTGTCTACAGAGAGTTCCAGAGCACAGGGGACGAGGAGGACCGCGGCGTGTGACATTCCGTGTGGAGCTGGGCACATAGCCAATGCCAACGGCAGTGCCTGACTCCCAGAACTGGAATTCGGTGGCTGTTCCAAGTCACAGAGATGACAGGCAGTTGATTCCATTTATAAAACGGCCTGGTAACAGAGCTGCAGGGACCACACCCGAGGTTGATGGGGTCCAGCAGCCCAGGGCCAGCCTTGCTTCGCCGTGCGGAGTGGTTACACCGCCGCTCCCCCTTCCTGCTGGGCAGCATGTGGGGCTCGGCTCTCATCAGAGGGCACAGGCGAGTGGAGGGGTGGGCAGACGGCAGGAGGCCCAGGCCCACCCTCCAGTCCCAGGCTCCTTGGGCTCAGAGCAATCCTGAAGATGCAGGGTCCACACACGGGACACCTAAGGGCGGCGAGGTGGCCTGGTCTGAGGGCGAGGGAGCACCGCCTAGATCCGAGGCCTGGTTCCAAGTGGCTGCCTCTCGGTCCCACTCCTGTGCAGGGCCTGGGCCAGCCTCATGGCCTGGGGACCCGGTGCTGTGACCGGAAGCGCCCGGGCTGCCAGAGCCCCTCCTCCTGCTGTCCCAGGGGCAGGGCTTCTCCCCACCCACCCCGCCCTTCCTCGCCCCTGCCCTGGCCCCAGTGCAGAGCCAGGCTGGAGGCTGCAGCCTGCCCCAGCTTCAGATGCTCACACCTTCCCTCCCCTGGGCCAGCAGGCTCCTCCCTGCGCCGGGCCTGAAGGAGGTTCCTGAGCCCAGTAGTGGCCGCTGCCCCCGTCACTCCTGCACCAGGAAGTTGATGAGGGCCGTCCTGGGGGAGAGGAAGGCTTTCTTGATGCTTCGCCCTTGCAGGAGCCTGGCCCCCAGTTCGCTCTGCAGAACAAGTTCGTGGACTTTGTCCTGGTCCCGGGAGACTTGCTGGGGCACGGGGACTTTGCCGCAGGCTTTGTTGTTGATCTGAGGAGAAAAGCCGAGAGGTGAGGAAAGCGCTGGAAGCAGCGGGCAGCCCGACTAATACTCCTGGTGAGGGACTGCCGTCCGTCTGGGCTGCGGGAGACACCTACCAGGACCGCCACCTCCACGACGTCAGGCTGCTGGAAGAACTGCGGGTCCACGGCCGGCCAGGCCTGGAGTAGCACGCCCGCGTCCCAGGCGTAGTGGGTGCACAGCTTCCTCGGCACCAGCGCCAGGCCTGCGGGGCGGAGGCACAGGGAGTCGGTCACTCGCACTCAGGATCCAGGACAGTGGGTGGGGAAGCTCCGGCCCCCCAGGCCTGGCGTGGAGCTGTCCCAGGGGCTCTGGGAGATTCACACCTCTGGGGACCCTGCCTGCCTGCCAACCCCGGGTTGAGAGGCAGGAGGGCAGAGCTGGAAGACCAAAGGCTGCTTTCCTCCACTGCACGCTCGAGGGGCCGGTTCTGGTCCCCGGGCCCTGGCTGCACGTCTGTGGTGAGCGCCCGCCTGGACGCTGCACGGAGAACTGGTCCCCAACACGGGCATGTGCACGTCCTTCCTTAGTGACTCTGGTGGTCTGGGAGGGCCTCCCCCGCGGTGTGCGGGGGACAGTGGGACGCTCCTCGGCCTCCTGGGGTGGGGGTGGTTAACCTCCCACTAAAATCCTTGGGAGCAGCTCCCTCAGTGTCGGTTACAGACAGGGACTCGGAGGGATGACCCCGAGTCTGGCTGCCCAGAGTGCATCATGCCACAGCCCCAAAGCAGAGGGCCCCCCCCCGAGTGTGACAGTGCTGGGTGCAAATGCCACACTGCAGCCTTCAAGGGGAGAGTCTTGCTGCCGGAAAACACGAGAAGCGTAAATAAAGGCCCGCCTCACTCGTCAGCTGCTGCGCAGTGGCAGGGCTGACGCGGCCCTGGAGAGAGCTCCTTATCGAGCTGCGGCTGGCACTGCGCAGACCAGCGAGGCTCTGCGGAGCCCCGACTGCCCCTGGTCCGGTCCACTGCCACCCTCGGCCTCGATTCTGGGCTGGCAGCACAGACTGCTGTCACCCTCCACAGCTCGCTCTCGGGCACTCTCGCTCTCACCGTTTCTGGTCAGTACCGGAGGGGGAGGCGGGCGGGCTTGTCCGAGCTCAGGGGAGGGAGAAGGGCACTGCTCAGGGCCCAGCGGGCTCCCGGCCAGCGTCCCGCGCTCACTCGTGCCCCTATCCCGGTCTCAGGGCCGTCCCGCACTCACTGCCCCTATCCCGTGCCCCTATCACCGTCTAGCACTTGCAGCGGAGAGCAGCTCCAGGCTGGTTCTCAGCAGGGACCCTATCAGAACCGGGGCCCAAATGTGAGGCAGAGGTCACGGGCGGGAGACACCCGCTGCTACACTTCGGCGAGCTGGCCCCGTGGCCCGTCCCGTGACCGGCTGCAGCGGGAAGATTTCCAAAACCTCGCTGTGGCATCTGTGCACGATGCCTGGGAGGTGAAAGGCCCTTGGACACGAGTGGGTGGCAGAAGCTGTTATGAGTCCACTTCAGAGAGATGAGGACACGCAGCCTTCCCAGAGCTCCTCCACAGGAGGGGCCTCCCGCTCAGCAGGGAAGGGAACTCCAGAGTTTGGGGGCACACGGCCGGCCCCTGCCTCCTGGTCCCTCCAGGGAAAGAAAACACCCCTCAGGTGGGAACTAGGACGGCTCACACGGCAGTGCTCAGGACAAGTCAAGTGCCAGAGTCCGAACGCGGGCGGAGCAGTGGCAGGGCCTGGCGTGCAAGGCTCCTACGCAGGACCAGCTGTGGCCCATGCCCGCCCCATCCCTTCCTCCGGGAGGGCTGCTGGCCCTGCCTTTCCTGTGGAGCAACTGAGCCTCCTCCTGCACTCTGAAGACCGGCGAGGTAGCCATGCGGCCAGGGCACCGGAGTGGGTGCTGGGCAGTCAGGGCTCCTGCGCGCAGTCTTCAGGCCTGCCCCACCCCATCCTCGCCCACGTGTGCACCAGACGGAAGGCTTTGGGGCCACTGTGGCATCTGAGCCTCACAGTGCCCCATCCAGCCATGGCAAGTCCAAGAAAATGAGCAGGAGAAGTGGTTTGGTGGTTAATCTGAAATAATGACCCGCGCAGCACCACAGCCACACGTAAAATACCTCCAGAGCATCAGTAGGCACCGCACCCCTGCAATGACCTCACACACACGCTCACACACTCCTGCATGACTTTTTAGAAAAACTCTTCTATAGGTTATGTGCATTCACCAGAGACAGAAAGAGAAGGCAAGCCCCCCCCGAGGGGGATGGCCCCGCTACAGTCCCTTCTCCTCCACTGTCCTCGTGGGATTTTGGCCATGTGTGCATGCACCTGGCATGACTTTCAAGCCACCAGGTCTGGGACTCGAACTATAGTCAGCCCTCTGGGGTCCACGGCCTCAACTTCTGAACCACCCACTGGCCCTCTACATGGTGTTTGCGTTTACTATTTCACTGCAATTAATGAGTACAGTATGTACACACAGCAGGACACGATGGCTTAATACTCCACAGCTAGGACCTGGCTATGTCGCTGGACTCCCACGTAGTCGACCATGGTTTGCGTCCTGGACCCGGTGGCTTAAACTCACACCAGGTGCGTATGCATGTGTGCCCAAGATCCCGAGAGGAGAATGGAGAAGGGATTGCGGCGTGGCCATCTCCCCTGGGGGGTGATTTCTCGCTTTCTGTCTCTCTGTCTCTCTCTGTCTGTCTGGGGAGCGCACACGCCCTATAGCAAAAATCTCTTAAAAAAAAAAAAATCCCACAGCCACTTTTTGTAAAAAGCTACAGAAAAGTCGCCCAAATTATTTCATGAAGAAATGGACCCGTGGAAGTGGACAGACGTGATGAGCTCAAGTGCCGCTTCTGAACGTCTGAGGTGGGAGAGGCGTCCCTGGGTGTGGCCCTCAAGATGACCCCACCCGGCCCAGTGTGTGGTTCGAGACCCAGACCCCGCGACTTGAGAAACACGCCAGTCCGTGTGATGCGCCCCCAAAGTCCTAAAAGGAGGGAGAGACAAGGAGGAGGGACTGAGGCGTGGTCATGCCCACGGGGGTGTCCTCTCACTGTCCCCCTCTGTCTCTCTGTCTCTCTCTGTCTGTCTGGGGAGCGCACACGCCCTATAGCAAAAATCTCTTAAAAAAAAAAAAATCCCACAGCCACTTTTTGTAAAAAGCTACAGAAAAGTCGCCCAAATTATTTCATGAAGAAATGGACCCGTGGAAGTGGACAGACGTGATGAGCTCAAGTGCCGCTTCTGAACGTCTGAGGTGGGAGAGGCGTCCCTGGGTGTGGCCCTCAAGATGACCCCACCCGGCCCAGTGTGTGGTTCGAGACCCAGACCCCGCGACTTGAGAAACACGCCAGTCCGTGTGATGCGCCCCCAAAGTCCTAAAAGGAGGGAGAGACAAGGAGGAGGGACTGAGGCGTGGTCATGCCCACGGGGGTGCCCTCTCACTGTCCCCCTCTCTCTGTCTCTGTCTCTCTCCAGGGAGCACACTCGTCCTCTGGCAAGTCAGAAGAAAAGGCCATCGTGACGGGACGGAGTTACACCTCCGACAAGCACACTACCAGGGGGCTCGCCAGGCAACAGCTTCTGCTCTCCCACTGCCCAGCGAGGAAACAGAGCCTCGCCGGGAAGCGGGGCAGGGACCCCGACAGCGCTGGCCTCCCCGGGCACTGGTGATAGGCCTGCAGGCCACGCTCTGCCACAGGGACTTGATGCGGCATCCTTCACTGCTCAGAGCCGAAGTTCCAGGAAGGAAGAAGCCATTTCCTCCTCCTGTTGGAACTTTGAGGACCGGCTGGGCAGGGGCAGGCGCGGGCGCGGCTCGGAGCGAAGGTCCCCATCCCGCTTCCTGTCCTGCTTCCCGTGGCTGGGGGGGCACCGGGGTCCCGCGGGAGCCCACCGGGCTCCTGCGCCTCCTCCTGTGTCCTCCTCGGCCGGCCCCCCGCGGCCTTGCACTCGCAGGTAAGACAGACAGGCGTCCTGCCGCTCCGCCAGGGCTTATCCCCCTGGAAACTGGCTTCTCCGGGCACTCTCCTCCGGTCCCTCAGAGGCTCTCGCTCTAGGTACAGAAATGGAGCCAGAGCTACGGGAAAGCGACGTCTCCTGAGATACACGGATGTGTGAGAAACCGCAGGGTCTGAGACCCGGGTGTCGCTGACGGCCCACAACAGCGGCGACGTCGGAAACAGCGCTCTCAGCTGCGAGCGAGCGCTGTCCCCTCCTCCAGGGGCAGCTCTGGGGCCGGAGCCCAGCCCTGCGGTCCCTAAGTCGGCCCCAACACTGTGTGTCAGACACCGTGACAGGCACAGGCTGCCAGCCATCACCCGACCACGGGCTCTGCCTGTCCCTGGGCCCGAGAACTCTCTCGGCCGTAGGAACGTCGGACACCCTCACGCGTGCTCGTCGCCGGCCCAACTCGAGACCTCGGCCTCCTCCTGACAGCAGGCACTGCTCCTGCAGCGCCATTCAGCGAGCATCAGGGAGACCTTTCCTGTAGGTGGGACTGCCGGCTCACACGCACTCCGACGCGCTTTCAGACTCTCCGGGGCCAGCGGGTGGCATGCTGGGTAAGGCACTGGGCTCCCACGTGGTCAACTGAAGTTCAAGTCCTGTTGAGGTCACCTGGTCTGGGCCCATCGTCTCCAGGGGGGTTAGCGTTGCCCACTTTGGAGGGAGACCATGGGATAAGCACAGCACGGGCAACACGGCCAGCCTCGAGTGTGGGTGCCAAGTGTGGGGCCTGCAGTGGAGGACGTCGGAGTCCCTGTTCACGTTCAGAAAGAGGCGCGGGGCCCAGGCTCGACGCCGTGGGCCTGACACTGCTGCTGGAGGGCCCGGACACGTGGAG